ACAAACAACCTAGGTTTTATAATAAGTATAACTCGATATGAGTTGTCCTCCTTTCCTTCTTGCGATGACTATTAATCGTGTTTTCAAATTGATTTTATGCAAAAGCAATTGTGTTTTTCCAATTTTTGGCACTGTCAGAACCACCGCAAGATAATTTTACACAGTCCTGTGAAGTTTTGTTGAAATAGGTTGAAAAATGTAGGAAATCTGATCCAATATATAAACGTAGACACACACACACACACACACACACAATCTGCATTTTATAATAAGTAAGATTATAAATGCTTTTTAAAGTTGATAATTCATTTGTCTTCCATAGAATAAATGGTAGAAATATAGTTAAATACTCATAAAACAAAAGGAAATCTCTAAATTCTGTTTTAATTTAATTTAAACTAACATTCCAATATTATTTAAAAATTATCATAAAATTTGTCTCTCATCTCAGATTATGCATACTTTGCAGTGATGTCAGTGAAACTAGGTGCAGGCTTGACCTGACAGATGACCTCCTAGCCACACCTGGTTTGCAAGCATGGTAATAAGCTGCATAATATATCTAAACACCCACTCCAGCAGTAAGTGGGACAGTCTCTCAGATATCGCATACAAGAATGTAAGGTCCACATTTGGATGAAGTTCTGGGTATGACAATAAACTACATCTGGCTTCTGATCAGGAAATTGGAGGTTTTGAGGAGTGTAGAGCCACATCTTAATTGATGTTGTTCCCAGTCCACTTTCACCCAGGCTGTTAGTACCTGTTAAGTTCCCAATTATGGACAAATAGTGAACCCCCAAACAAATAATACCAGCAATATATTTGTCCATATAATATCCTACAATTTCTTAAAGAAAACAAACTCTGTTCCAAAATGTAACTTCAACAAAACTATAAGATAACACACACATCACCACCTCTAGTAATTATGTCCACACAAACATGTATATGCACAAAAGCTGAGTATCATCTACCATGTATTCAGTTGTTAAAGCAGAACTTTTCATAGCTTCATCTACTGCAAGGAAAGTTGGTTCTCTGTGTCATGCCAGAAATTGTTTCTCGTCTGAGATCATCCTTCAAATCTATAAATCAACCATCCGTCCTTGCATGGAATATTGCTGTCATATATGGTCTGGTGCCCCCACTGTAAGTCTTTAGGTCCTTGACAAAATCCAGAGATGGATATGTAATATGATGCGTCCTGATCTGGCATCTAGTCTACAGTCATTTTCTCACAGACGTGCCGTGGCTTCCCTCTGTCTTTTCTATAAGTATTTTCATGGCAACTGTTCCAACGAGTTGCTTTTGCTGGTTCCCAGACTGAATGAATTTAAGTGAGCTACTAGGTTGGCATCTCAGTCCCACCCTTGCACTGTCGAAATGGTTAAATGTAACCATCTCTTCTATTCAAACAGCTTCTTCTCTCACACTTCCCGTCTGCTTTCCTGATAACTATAATCTTCAAATATTCAAATGTAATATCAATTGACATCTTCTGATACCGTGATATTGTTCCTCCATCCTTCTCTTTATCCTCTTTCCAAACATGCCTCTTTACTCTAGTTCTCTACCCTCTGTAACCCCTTGCATGCTACTGGCCCTCCCGCCTTGCTTGGGGTGAAATGCTTTAAAAAAAAAAAGAAAGAAGAATAACATATCGTATTTTTATTACTTCAAAACTCACAAGAAAATTAAATTTTGGCATTAAATGACCCATAAAGAGTTGATATGCCATTAAACAGACAAATCAAATAATTTGAATGAGGTCATGCATGCACACACTAGCTGAGAGTAATGGATGAAGTATGCTGGGAAATAAAATATAATGTTAAATATGAGAAATTAAGTCTTGTGTAATCATTTTGCCTCCACCTTCATTTCAATATATTTGTTAATTAACTTCTACAACTTATCCACCTTTTACAGGTTATTTATAGCCAGAAAATAATTTGGGATTGTAAGAATTTTTTGGAGATAATGATGATTTACCAATACAGTTCCTACTAATTAACCAATAGCTGGAAGGAGAAATGGTTGATTCATATAGTGAATATAATGAACCTGACTTGAATTGGAACTCGGTTCACCAATTTGTAATTGTGAGCTGTTATCCATTACACCAACCACACATCCAAGCTTACAACACCTGGTATTCCCAAGCAGTCACCCATCTAGATTGCTTAACTTTGGTAATCATATGTGATTTGGTGTTTCAATATGATGTCATCATAATTATTAGTAAGAAGGAAGTTCCACTCAGACAGCTTCTTCCTTAAAACTGTTACTTAGTTACCCCTGAGAGAATGCTTCCTCAGTCAATACAATCTTAACCTCTTAAAGTCGAGGGACAACCATTATCTATTCTACATATCCTCAGATGTGCACCTCCAAAACTCTTGACAATCAGAGATTGACAACTGATTTCTCTTCTGATCTAGCACAAACTTCCCTGTATTGGGAAAAATTAGCTGGTTACATTCAATGCCTCAAAAACCAAACTAGTTACATTCCATCAATGCTGATCACACCCCAAACCACTACCAGTCATGATGAACAAATGTCCCCTCGAGGGTGCACCATGCCTTGAGAGACTATTGGGCTTCAAACTCATGCCTGACCTCAAGTGGGACTCATACATATAATCCATTGCTAAAGATGCAGGTAAAATATTTGGCTCTCTGTAGCGCTTCAGTAAGTACCTGACACCTCATGCTATCCTCTACCTTTGTAAGAACCAGATCAGGCCAAAGATGGAGTACTGTTGTAATATTTGTGTGAGAGCTGCCCAGTCATCACTTTCCACTCTTGAAAAAGCATTTCTGAGTCATTATGAATGACTAATTATTTTTTGTCCTCTAACCTCTTACTCACAGGCTGGACATGGCGAGCATCTCACTGTGCCCATCACTAATTCCATGGTTCTGCCAGTCTTAATCTTCCCAACTAGGACCTACCATGCAACTTACATTGTAGCAAACCAACCACCTTCCTTTTGTATTCCATTAGTGTGAAGTAAATTCCACTCAAATAGCTTCTTCCTAATCACTACAATCTTAACCTGTCAAAGTCTATAGTTCCCCCTCCTATCCATATAAACTGCCTCTTAACATAATACTTTACCTCTAGAGGCTCCTGAGCCTTGTACAGGGTGAACCTTTAAAAAAAGATAACTTGTATTTACTTACTCCTCTTATGTTCATACAACAACCTCAGTAACACTCTACCTTGAGTGGCTCTTTGGCCTTGTACTGGGTGAACATTTATTTAAAAAAATAATTATATATTCTTTTTTTTTTTGTAACTTGTACAGATTTTTTACATTTTCTAATTTTTTTATAATGGATCTTGTTTGGGAACTGACCAGATTCAATGTTGCTTAAATTTGGTGATCATCTGAGAACTGGTGTTTCAATATTTGTTAACACAAGTGCTTCAGTTGGGTTGGGTCAAGATTAAATTATTCTCAATTGCACAACAGTCTTCTGACAACATACTTTAAAAATCTTGGTGAATAAATAAAAAAATACTTTTTGTTGAAGGATTTTGCTTCTATTTTAATGTCAGAATTCTCTTTTTTTTTTCAAATAGATCAAATCTAATCACAATTAATAATTACTGTAATCATTTTTCTTAATTACTATATAAATCTAACTTTTTTCTTCTATGTGCCATGTCCCTTCAGAATATTGGCAATCATGGCTCTCCACAATTTCCTGACCTTTTTAGTTCTTAATAAATTTTGTCTTTTTGCTATCTCCTAAACCTTGCTCTAACTTCTATTTACTCAAGTTCATGTATTGTTTTTCCTCTGCCCCTCTTGCCTTCAATCTGTCCTGTGAGTATCAAATTTTCCAACAAGTCTTTCTTATGTGCCCCAGAAATGTCCACTGTCTCTCCCTGATATTAAGTATAAGCATCCTTTTCGTTTTCATTACAGGAAGGAACATTTGCTTCTACCAGTACCATTTCCTCTACTGCAAGAAATCTTTGAGTCTTTCTCCTGTCATGTTTTTGAACTATGTAAGCCATTACTGCAGTGTCGAAAGCCCCGTAAACAAGCTACTGAAGACAGATATGTTGCCATTGTTTCCAAATTTTTGTGTCTCATGGGAAAAGCCTGCTGGTAAGTTTTGTTTTTGTTTGTTTGTTTTTTTTGGGGGGGTTGTTTTGTTTTACAATAATAATCACCCTGTACAAGGCCCAAGAGCCACTCGAGGTAGAGGGTTACACAGTAAGAGATAAGGGGTACGATTTATGGGAATATGTGGGGAAGATAATGGTTAGCCATAGACTTGAACAGATTAAGATTGTAGTAATCAGGGAAACATACTCTTGAGAGTTAGTTCAACAAAGTAGCAGTTTGTGGGAAGAAGCTGTGAAAGTGGAACTTACATCTGTTGTAAACACACATATGTTTGCACAAGAGAACACACAAAACAACCAAGTACTGTTGGTGAGGAGGAAAGAAAAGAAGACAAGATGTGGTAAAATAAAATTCTTTTTATTCAGGATCAAAGCAGAATATAACTTTGTGGACAAGGGAAGTGACCTGGAGAATGGGGAGAGTCAGTAGGGCCTGCCATTGATACTTGTGTCAGGTTGGTTGACTAAGGTCACTGATGGTGACACTTAGAACTTACTTGATTGTCTATAACTGATCTTCGTTGTTGTGAATGGTGTCCTTTTAAGTAGTCTGGGTAGATTCATGACTCAGTGTTTGTCATGTTTTTGCTTCAGCAGCATTACTTGTGATTTGCTTTGACAATTTAGATTTTATTTTTCATTTCATGGGGGATGTGATGTTTGGAGCTCATGAGCAGAGAGCTACTTTTTATTTTTACTTTTTCTTTCATAACGTTCAAATCTGGCCAACAAGTTTTGATGTGGAGTGAATCAGAAAGAGATTGAATTTGAAACCAAGTATAACACATCTCACTAATGGAATATGAAGTGAATGAGAATGGTTTGCTACAATGTCTATCATATTCTTAATTATACCAGTTCCCATACAATTACCGAAGTTAAGCAACATCAAGCCTGGTCAGTACATAGATGGGTGACTGCTTGGAAATATCAGGTGTTGTATGCTTGGATATACAGGTAATGTAATGAATAATGGCTCAGAATTGTTAATCGGAGAGTCGAGTTCCAATTCTAGTCGGGTTTGTTATATTCACTTACCTTGGTAAATGTATGAATTCACATTTCTTCCCCACCAGCTATGGGTTAATTATTAAGACTTGTATCACTAAATCATTATCTCCCCACTCCAAAAAATTTTGACAATCTAAAAAATATTTTCTAATTTGAAATAACCTGCAAAGGGTTGATAAGCTGTAAAAAAAAAAAAACAAATAACACAATCAAATAATATTCTTAACTGGCCAAAATTGGTAGCTATTTTGGTTTTCCTGAAATTTTAAATTTTATTTGCTTTTCTATATTACTTCAAGGGTTTTTGTATATTATTATTTTTTTTTTTTTGCAAATCTGAATATTTCTTCTTAGTCCCCAATCTATTTTAGTCATATTTTTTATTATTTCCATTTTGATCATAAATTATTCAGTTTTTACAGATATATTTAAATACACATGAATGTTTGTAAAATTTATTTGTAAAAATAAAATCTGGTGCTTACCTGCAACTTCAGGATTTTTCAAATGACTTTACCTAGATTTAAAGTAAAATTATTTTTCATATGAAAACATGCAAAAATCAAGTCTATGCACAACTGATATTTTAAAATTTTTAATAGCACTTTTGGTTCTTTATACTGCTTCAAAAAGTACCTGATTCTTTCTCCCATGCTTTCTTTAAATGATTCTGATCAAACTAAAAATGAATTATTGCTGCCATATCTAATAAATAATGTTTATTATTTTTGTTGTAAATTCTCAAGAACAAAACAATGTATAGATATACTTTCATCATATGTTTAAATTTTATTGCAATTTTAATCATTGATTTTTAAAATAAAAAAACATTGCTGAGAAATGAAGGTAGTTAAAATAATAGCAGTGTCAAGGGAAAAACCGTCCTTTTGATACACTGATTTTTTTTTTTTTTTGAAGGCATTAAGGATAAAGATTGCCAATTTTTTAAGTATATTTTCTATTCTTTCAATTTTGCATGTGCAAGATTAACAACTGCTGAGATAGAATAATTTGGAATTACAAACTGTTAAACAGAAATTGGGATAAACTAGCAAAATCTGCCAAAATGTATCCTACTCTGATAACGATTTTTGATCATCAATCCCTAGAGCAAGGTTTCTCAAACACTGGGGAATCCTTCTGGTGAGGGTTCAGTGTTTCAGATAGGGAGAAATCTTTTACATTTTTTTTTGTATTTTTATTTATTTACAGAATTTGGTTTATTGAATTACAATACCCTGGTATTCAACTGAACTTTTTGTTTATTGATGTATTATTCAGTTTATTTATTTAATAATCCATACATGTATTCAAATATTCTATTGCTTAATAGAAATTTGTATAACTCCTCTATAAGAATAATCCATGTACTAATGGAAAAGAAAGATTTTCAATAATATAGGCATAATATTTTGTAGGCACCTTTTGAGTTGGACAGTCTGGGAAAGGAGGAGGGAATGACATTCTGATTTATGATGAAAAGGTTGCATTGAGCAAAATAGGTTAAGAACCACTGCTCTAGAGATATGCTCAAACGAATTGGCATCTTTTGCGATTTTGGACTAGTCCAAGGGAGGTAATTTTTACTTTACCTACATTTTTTGCTTTCTCTTAGTTGCTTTCTCAACATAAAATTACAGAAAATAATATTAGCAAAATTATTTTTGCAAACCTTGTACAAATAATACAATGATTTCTGATATTTTGGTGTCAGACGAAAATTATGAAAAAAAAAAATTTCTATAATTCATGAAAATAGCTAAGAGAAATTATGAAACAAGTATTTTTTGTTGGCTATTTTATAAACATAATCAGGAAAAAAAATCCAAGTCTGTAGAGGTAATTTTTTTCTTAATCAGTATCACCCTAACCAAAGCAGTACAGTCACTACTATGCAAAGAGTTACAGGGTGTGGAGGAATTAGGAAAAGAAACATTAGTAATGAGTAGAAAGAGAAAAAAGCAAACAGGAGGATAGTAAATAGCGATTAACATTGCATTTAGCTTTTTTGCAAATTAATGTTGGCTGGAAAACATCGATCCAGAAGAGAATTCCACAAGCAAGATGTGCGAGAAAAGAAAGTGTCAGTCTAGATGTTACAACTACATCAAGCTAGCTCAACTGTAAATTGATGAGATCTTGATTCCAATCTAGTATTGTACTTAAATTCATAAAGTCTAAGTACCATAGTGAAGCGCTCATCCAAACAGTTAACATAAAAGTCACAAATAGGTAAACTATCATTTATCATCATGCAAAGTGGAATTGACAAGGCAAGTTCAAATTCCAGTTTAGTCTGTTGCAATCTCTATAGCATAAATGCCCTTGGGAAAGGCATGAATCCAGCTTTTTCTCCATAACTGTGAATTGAATGGCAAAGTAGACTGATTATTAGAGAATGACCACATTGAAATAAAAACCATGAAGATGGCAACATAGCATCTGAAAGGGCATCACATTTAACAAAAATCCGAACAAAACAATGACTATGATATCATAAATAGAATCTATTTAGCAAATACAAGAATATTTACACTCATTCTAATGATTACATTTATAGCAGCACAACAAATACTAAAAGCATATACATTGGAACATATTAAGACCACAATTTTTAACCTTATGAGGGCAGTGAGATGCTTTCAATGTTTTGTCTGTGAGAAAGAGGAAATGGCAAACATAGACATGCCCACAAACAAAAAAGAGAATCAAAAGGACAGTTTTTCCTTTGACACTGTTATTATTTTAACTACCTTCACTCCTTGGTTGTGTTTATTGTTTTAAAAAGCAATGATTAAAATTGTAATAAAACCTAAACATATGTCAATTCCACTTTGCGTGATGATAAATGTTAAGTTTACCTATTTGTGCCTTTTTTATAAATACTTTTATGTTAATTGTTTAGATGAGCACTTCACTATGGTAGTTAGACTTTATGAATTTAAGTACAAATTTCCAATAATAAACAATATTAGATAGGTTATTGGAATGGTTGACAAAACATTGGCTAATTGCCAATCAATTTGAACTTTATAAAATGGCAAATAAGGATTTCCTTATAATTGGTTCAATTTTAATAATTTAGTAAATGTTTATAAATTTATGAATAAAAAATTTTAATATTTATTTCTTTATATACTAGTAAATGATAAATATTGCATTGCATTAGTTTTAATTGTATTAATTTTTAGAATGTAATTATAAAATTATTATTGTAAATAAACTGTCTAATAAATAGTATTTTAATATTTTTTATTGTAAATTCTCATGAACAAAGAAAAAATTCTAATCATTACTTTTTAAAACAATAAACATTGCTGAAAAGTGAATATAATTAAAATAATAGCAGTTGCGAGAGGACTTTTGCTTTGTGGAACCAACTCCCAAGAGCATGCTTCCCTAACCACTACAATCTTAACCTGTTCAAGTTTAGGGTTAACCATTATATTTCCTCACATATCTGCATAAACTGTGCCTCTTACTTAGTTGTCCATTTTAAATAGATTTACATAAAAATGACAATATGTTCAGTTAATTCTGCTTCTATCTAAATTTCTGGGATAAAGAGTTAAACATTATTTACATTCAAACTATTGTCCTCATCTGTGTTGTTATTATCATAATGTTTCAACTTTTGTGGCCTTCAGCCTTCTTCAGAACAATGTATATGTAGCACTACATTTGGGCAAAGCAAATTTCGAAATTTCCTGAAGGTTACCTAAGTGGCTATTACTTGTAACCAATATTCCCTTAAGTGGAATTCACTGTATAGAAGGTAAAGAGTTGCCATAGGACATTTAGTATATGAGCAAATAAAGTCGGTATATTCATTATTCAATGAGTTGATCATTTAATATTTATCAATGTTCTGTTACTTGAGTGGGTATATTGCAATTCCCCAACCTATTTTCCCTTTACAGAAGAATTTATAATGTCCAGCTCTTGAAGAAAGTGAAAGTCATTGACAGGATTATCAAGAAATCATTGAATGAATGACAATAATAATATTGATACTTAAAAGTTGCAATTTTATTTTTTTTTGATAAATTTTGTCACTTTTGGATTTTGTACATCAACCCTTAATAGTTTTCAATTTTTAAATCCTTGGAGTCCTGACTGAATTGTTGAAAAATCTAAATATGTGATATTAGTGCAATTAAATTATCACCAAGACTGTTGAAAATCAAGTCATACAAGTCAATTTTATCTGAAAGTAAATTGATTTCTCTTTCAAATGATACCAAATTTAGCTTCGTTAGTAATTTTTTAATCATTTCACCCCATGCAAAGCAGAAAAAGCCACTAAGGCACAAGTGTGAAAGAATGAGAAAAAAAGAAAAACATTATTAATGAGCAAGAACTATAAAAGAGTAATCAAGAAGAGAGTAGATAGTAATTGACATTGCATTAAAAATTATGAAAAACAAAGCTGGAAAGCAAGAAACTAGATTAAACTTGAAATGACATTATCCTTGTTAGTTTTTTAATACTATCAACCCTGGTAAGATTTGAATTCTTAAATCCTTGGAGTTCTGATTGAATTATTGAAAAATTTGAAAATGTGATGTTTGTGCAATTAAATTGATATATCTCAAAAACAGTTGAAAATCAAGTTTTACAAGTTGATTTTATAGGAGAGTAAATTGATTTCTCTTTGAAATGATGCAAATTTAGCCTCCTTGGTATTGCTGGTTATGAGATATGGTTTTGGAAATCTTCTTTGTAGAAGTTGTAAGTTTCCAAAAATTTGTAGATTTCTTGTGTCTCTAATTGATCATTAGATGGCACTTAATGTTGTTCATTGAAATACAGTGCTACCTGATTTCTGGCACATTCAAGCTCCTCCTGCCCAGAACTCTAAGTATGTGAAACTTGTGGGCACTTTTTTATATACTAATGTTCACCCTATATAAGACGTAAGAGCAACTCAAGG